GTTTAGGGTGTATTGTTTAGAGGTTAGGGTTTAGAGTTTAGGGTTTAGGGTTTATTGTTTAGAGGTTAGGGTTTAGAGTTTAGGGTTTAGGGTTCATTGTTTAGAGGTTAGGGTTTAGAGTTTAGGGTTTATTGTTTAGAGGTTAGGGTTCAGAGTTTAGGATTTAGGGTTTATTGTTTAGAGGTTAGGGTTTAGAGTTTAGGGTTTAGGGTTTATTGTTTAGAGTTTAGGGTTTAGAGTTTAGGGTTTATTGTTTAGAGGTTAGGGTTTAGAGTTTAGGGCTTAGGGTTTATTGTTTAGAGTTTAGGTCTAGAGTTTAGGGTTTAGGGCTTAGGGTATAGGGCGTAGGGCTTAGAGTTTAGGGTTTAGCGGTCTATTCTGTGGCGCACATGAATAAGGGTTTCTATTATGTTTTGTAAGTGTATATACTGGGTTGCTTGGGAAATATTGGTGAGTGAGTGTATAAGTACTTATTGGGATGACCACTTGGCGGGACTGAGTTAGAATCCTACCATGTGTGATTTTGTTGATCTCATGCGCTCGCTGCTGACACTCACCCTGCAGTCCAGTGGAAAGAACACAGTCAACCTCTGAGTCAGAAATACATTGTGGGAACCCTTTGACCTAGGAGCTACTATAATTACTACTAGAAGTAGGCCACGCCGCGTCATGGTCCCGGTGTTTTTTGAAGGTTACATGGGCCATTTGGGGGCTCTAGCAGGACCACGACGAGACGTTGCCCGACCTAGTGTGTTAGCGCGGGGCGTCTTTTGCCAGAGAGAGGACTGGTTTGTTGGGCAGCAAGTCAAAGTGCAAGAAGGCACTCATCAAAGAGGCCTTTCAGTGGAATGCTCTGGTCACCGTATGCTCTTGGAACACGAACGTAGTATGGTTTTGGCATGGATGCCGTGGTCAGCGCATGCTCTTGGAACACGAACGTTGTTAATTATGTTTGGCGCATGGATGCTCTGGTCACCTGAAGAAGCCTAGCTGCGCCAGCACAGACCTCTGGCTGGGTCGCCACCGGCTGGGTCGCCAGATCCACGGCAGTGCCAGCGGCAGACGGCTTCAAGCGAGTGCCCCACATGGCCCGCAACAGCCTCCCCGCTGAACCCTGGCAGCTGCATGGGACAACAAGCTTGTCTGGTGAAGTTCCTCGACAAGAAGCGCTTCTATTTTGAAAACCCTCAAAAACCACCGGGCTATGAGGCGGCGGGCCCTATAAGTACTTTTTTCGAGTGCGCAAGTTCCATCCTTCGAACCATGAGCACCAGCCATTTGGAGGTGGACGGTATGGAAAATCAGAAGAGGACAATAAAGACCTACAGAAGGACTAAAGCACAGGAGATTACTTAGCTGACGAAAGACGATTAGGCCGGGCCAGCAATGGACCATCGGGGCCCAGGGTTTCGTGTACTCCGTGGGTCCACAGGGAGACACACCCTTCAAACGTAGTATGTCTATCGGTCACTTCAGTATGGTATCCGAAAGGAGACGCCCCCGTGAGCACGTTGATTTGGTAGCCGCACGCTTGTCATCACGAAAACTCTGCATCGTTGTACTGAAGGTCAAGGACGTACCTGGCAGTGAGTCAATAATGTAAGTGGCATCCATATCGCAAGTAGGAATGCGGCAGCTTCCCGGCCAGCCTCTCTGGAGGCATCAACTTCCAGCAGCTTAAGAGCCCACATTAACAGAGAATGACTGGCGAATACCAAGCTGACGAGACCGTCTTGTGCAGAAGGAGATCCACATAGTAGCAAAGTCTTCTGGAGTAATAAATCGGCAGTCGGGTCAGAAATGGATCGGTTCATAGCCAGCTTCAGTGGAGCATCGGAGAAGGTACACTGGCGGTAAGGAGGTAACCTAGGCCGACCCCCTAACGGCCCCTGAGAACGATTTAAAGCAGCGCGAAACACCATATCCGGAACTGAAGTCGATAAGCCAGCGCGAAATGGAGCGGCCAGTCCATAGCGTTCCATAGAGGAGAGAGTGTACTAAGAAAAACCGGGGCTCTCTGCTGCGCTCGGGCCTCACTATAAGTACCACTCTTACTATTTCTATTATTACTGCCTCTCAATGACTATGATTAACACTGCTACTACTTTTGCATCGGGACACTTTGAAGCTTGGGTGCCTGCAGGAAACCCAGAAAGCTGGAGGAGCGCTGATGCGGGAGGGCTGACAGACCGAAGTAGTCATCAGAGAACACTGCTTGTTCATTGCAGCTATTGATAAATCACAGTTAATGTATGATAATGGTAGTAGTAACAATACTCAAAATGAATAGGAAAAGTAATAGTAGCACTCATGGACACGTGTTGCTGCAGGGCGGTCGCGCTTGAGTCGCTCCCAGCCCTCTTTAAGGCAGGTTTGTGTGGCTCTGCACACAAAAGTGCCACTGTTTGAAAACCATAGATTGGGGTTATTAGGGGTACCATTCTGGAGTTCTCCATAACCAGGAATACAGTATATTGGGGTCTATATCGGGGTCCTCCTATCTATGGAAACTACCAGATTTTTAGCTTATCAGCTGCCTGGTCTGACCTGTTCAGGTCGTAGATTCTTGGACTCAATGGCTGTGTTGCATCGTGTTGCTCAACCAACATGTTTTCTTTTAGACTAGGGTAGCACAGCTTCAGGGCTACAAGGAGTGCTTACCCAGTCCTCAATGATGGATTTCCCTTCTATTGAGTTCCTCTATGGCTTCCTTAGCCGCTGGTTTATCTGTACCGCAAGACATAGCGGCCGTGAGCTTGACAGAAGGTCCTCTTTAGTCATGCGCAGCTGCACAGTGGTTGAAAGCAGCGAATGTGAACAGCTGATGGCGGGAAACCCCCCTGTCGCATTGGCATTGCACAAGTTAAAAGCCACAATTAGCAAGATTAGATCTAGAGTCGGTGGAGACCAAACTATATTATCGGCTGTTCGGCTCAGAATTCGACGTGCAGTGCGAATAGGTTCAGGAGTCAGGGCTGTACCACACTTGACTGCAAGAAGGAAAGGCAAAAGCAGTTCTGACTGGAGCACGCAAGTCTGAGCAGCTCTAGCCTGACAAAGCATACTCTTGCTAGCATCTCAGCCTGGATGCGCAATGCCAGCGGATGAAGTTTGCGATCCGTTCAGCAAATGGACTGCCAGAAGCCCCAGTACCAAGGGGTCTGTATGTCAGCCATCTCTCCAACTCTGGTTGAAATCTTCCCAGCCGAGGCATTCAAGGCTTTCAGGGTTTCAGGTAAGAGCTTGTTTCAAGGCTTCCCAAAATTAGAGGTACCTTCTTGTAGGCTTCCATAATAAGGATCATAGAGTAGTTTGGGGTCTATCTTGGTCTGGTATTTTGGGGTTTGCCTGAAACAGCCGAGGTCACCGAGGAGCGGCGAAGATCCAGGCCAGGCCGCAGTACGCGGTCACTATGATAACCATTTTTATTACTGCCGACTATTTCTAAAATAACTATCATTACCATTATGTTTACTACTATTTTCCTTAGTAATATCTTCTACTCAGAATTACCATTACACATGTTGTTATTCTTATATTATAACAATTACCCATATATTGAGTATACATTCCTATAATAACAAGACTTTGTAATATTGGAATATTATTACTACTTGCTCGGAAGTGAAGTTTGCAGGACCCGGAGCAGCGTTATGCCTTGTCAGTGTATTCAACAAGTAGCAAAGTGAAATCAGCACTTGCCAAATCAAAGTCAGACTGAAGGCCCATCGTCCGAAAGCAGAGGCTTTCAAAGC